ATCGTTTTTCTGTGTGAATTCATTCGAGAGAGTAGTGATTGTCTGATTTTACCCACATTGATGTTGTTGGGGCATTTAGTGCACTGGATGAGGTACACCATGTTGATAGCCATGTGTTGGATCCTGGGATCTTGAGAGATGTGTGGAGCGTGTTAAGCATCGCAGCAGTGGAGATATGTCTACAGATTTTGCATCTGTTGTTCTGGTGCCTCTTTCAGTTGGTGTATCCTGGTTTGGGGGGATTTTGCTTCTGCTGATGGGCTTGGTGAGGTTGGGAGGTTTGTTTGAATGCCAGAAGAGGGGGTTTGGGAAAATTTCTTGCAGGATGTGGTCCTCATCGAATATGGGTTATAATTGTTTGATACCCCATATGGGTTCCACTGTGTGGTAGTAGGGGACAACTAAAGCTGTGCGGTCAGAGGGGTTTTTATTTCGGTCCTGAAGCAGGTTCTGTCGAGGTATTTGCGTGGCCCATTCTAATGATGTGATTTACTTTTCTGCTGGAGTGTCCTTGTTTGGTTAAGGCAGTTTTAAGTGCCTTAAGGTGTGTGTCCTGGACTTTCTCCTTGGAGCATATTCTGTAGTATTTGGCTGTCTGGCTATAGATAGCCGATTACTTGGTATGTTTACGGTGGTTATTGGATCTGTGAAGGTAGGTGTGGTGATTGGATTTCTTATATTTAGTTGTCTGGAGGGTTCCATGGTTGAAGCTGATTGTGGTGTGCAGGAAGCTGATGCTAGTGATAATGATAACTGGGAATCATTTGGGGCATCTAATAAAGTATTCTTAAAGGCCCCAATTCTACAACTGAGGAAGGAGGCCGTACTGGTTAAAAAATTGACCTGGTTTAAAGGGGAAGTGAAGGCAGCTATAAATAATTAAAAAATAATGTATAAGAAATGGAAGTTGGGGAAGTTGATAGTAATGAATAAGGATACAATTTTGTTCTGGAGGTCACAGATTCTACTTCTTGTTCCACTAGTATTTCAGGAGGATGTTAAACAGCAGCTACCAAAGTTAGATATATTTTTTTTTTTAATTAGCAGGCCCAGATAATTTGCATTGAAGAGTTTTAAAAGAGCTGTCTGAGGAGCTCTCTGGACCATTAATGTTGATTTTGGAATACTGGGGAAGTTCCAGAAGACTGGAAGAAAGCTAACGTGCCATTTTTTAAAAAGGGTAAACGGGATGACCTGGGTAATCATATATAGGCCTGTCGTCCTGATATTGAGCTCAGGCAAGATAATGGAGTGGCTGATACAGGACTTGATTAGTAAAGAATTAAAGGAGGGTAACTAATGCAAATCAGCATGAGTTCATAAGAAATATATCCTGTCTAGCTAGATATCTCTCTTTGGTGAGCTTATAAATGTGGTTGATAAAGGTAATAGTGTTGACTGATGTTGATTAAATTGGAGAGGGTTCAGGGAAGAGCCAGGAGAATGATAAAAGGATTGGAAAATATGCCTTATAGAGATTGAGCTCTTTGAGTATGTTTAGTTTGACAATCTATAAGTATCTACCTCTGGAACAAATATTTAATGATGGGATCTTCAGTCTAACTTAGCAGAGAAAGGTATAACATGATTCAATGACTGGAAACTGAAGTTAGAGAAATTCAGACTGGAAATGGAGCGTAAATTTTTAACAGGGAGGGTAATTAACCATTGGAATAATTTAGCAAGGGTGGATTCTCCAACACGGGCAGTTTTTAAATCCAGATTGGATGTTTTTCTAAAAAAATGCTATAGAGTTTATTTTGGGGAAGTTCTGTGGCCCGTTTACAGGAAGTCCGAGTAGATAATCAAAATGGTCCCGTCTGTCCTTGGAATCTGACTCTGAATGATTAGAGGTTTGGAAAACATGCCTATGGGCTTGGCTACACTTGCGAGTTAGAACGCATTAAAGCAGCCCCTGGCGCCTAACTCACATCCTGTCCACACTGGCAAGGCACTTAGAGCACTCTGACTCCGTGGCTAGAGTGCTCCTGGTAATCCACCTCGGTGAGAAGCATAACGCTTGGTGTACCTCAGGTGAAATGCCCGGGCGTCAGTGTGAATGAGGTGTTGAAATGTCCCATAATCCCCTTAATTCAAGTGGCCACTCCTGTCATCGTTTCGGAATCGCTGCAGAATGCGGATATCAAGCAAACCATTACTGTGGAATGCTGTGTGTGTGTGTGTGTGTGTGTGTGTGAGAGAGAGAGAGAGAGAGGTGTGGGGGAGGGGGGGATCTGTTGCTGTCCAAACTTACAAGACAGCATGCTGACATGCTCTCAGCCCCCCACAAACCCACTCTCTCTCTCCCCACGTACACACAACACACTCCGTCACACTCCACCCCACCCCCCCATTTGAAAAGCACGTTGCAGCCACTTGCATGCTGGGATAGCTACCACAATGCACTGCTCTCTCTGGCCGCTGCAAGTGCCACAAATGTGGCCACACCAGTGCACTTGCAGCTGTCAGTGTGAACAGACTGCAGCGCTTTCCCTACTGAGCTCTACGAAGGCTGGTTTAACTCAAAGCACTCTACATTTGTAGCCATGCCGTAATAGTGAGAGACTTAAAAAGCTCAGTTTATTTAAGATTAAGAGGTGACTTGGTCATCGTCTCCAAGTACCTCCGTGGAAGAGATTTCTGGTAGTGGATGGCTCTTTAGTCTAGCGGAAAGGCATAATAAAATGCAATGGTTGGAAGATGAATTTAGGCAAATTCGTACTAGAAATAAAGTGCAAATTTTTAATAGGGAGGTTAAGTAACTAATGGATCAATTTCCCTGGGGATGTGGTGGATCCTCCATCACTTGAAGTTCTTATATAAAGACTGAATATCTTTCTAAAAGATATGCATGCTATAGCTCAAATTGAAGATATAGATTTGATCCAGAAATTATTGGATGAGGCTCTTTGTCCTGGTTTTATTTCTGCAGGAGGTCATACTAGATGATCAGAGTAGTCCCTTGTGGCCTTAAAATTTGTGAAATTAACTTGGCATTCTGTTGAGAGCCAATGTAATGCTCAGAACACAAGGATGTTGTGTGCTGGGCAACTGGTATTGTTCAGGATGACAGCTCATACACTTTGGATCAGCTGAAATATTTTTTGTTTGTGTCTTTATGTAATCATTCTAAAGTATAGAGAATTGCAGTAATTTAGCCTGGAAATCAGACTAGCATAGATCGCCGTGGTCTGATCATCACTGGGAAAGTAGGGGGCACCACCTGCTTGCCAGTTTCAGGTGGAAATTTGTTGTTTATTTGAGCGAAACAGCTTGGGAGTACTAAAATTCTCTCTGTATTGATAGACTGCCTCAGCAGTGGATGATGAAATGACGGTGGCTAGCTCTTTAAAATGTTTTCCTTTCCCCACCAAGGTAACCTCAGCTTTATTTTCATCTGCTTGCTGATCTTGGCCAGACATTGATATAATTGGGTCATAGCACTACCAGCAGTGGAAGAGAGAGAGACATAAAACTGATTGACATTTGACACTATGTTATCTCACTAGGTTCTCCAGTAGCTTCATACAGATATTGAACAGGATGGATGTAGGAATAGAGCTCTGAGGGACTCCACAGATGAGCAGATTGGTATGAGGGAAGTTGCCCATTGTGTGAGGGCCAAAAGGAAGGATTTCATCTGGCTCAGTACTTTCCTGGTGTCCCTCATCAATGAACAAATGGTCATCCATTTTCATGATTAATGAAACTTCCATTCCATGTTCTAAACCAGGGGTAGGCACACTTTGGTCCAGGGGCCACATCTGGCCCTTCAAACGTTTTAATCCAGCCCTCGAGCTCCCGCTGGGGCTTACCCTGCTCCACGTGTGCTGTGGCTCCGCACGGCTCCTGGAAGCAGCAGCATGTCCCCCCTCAGGCTCCTACACATATGGGCATCCAGGGGGCTCCGCACGTTGTTCCCACCCCAAGTGCTGCCCCCGCAGCTCCCATTGGCCGCGAACTGCGGCCAATGGGAGCGCAGGGGCAGCGCCTGTGGATGGGGCAGGATGCTGAGCCGTTTGGCTGCGCCGTTTGGCTGCGCCTCTGCGTAGGAGCGAGAGTGGGGACATTCCGCTGCTTCTAGGAGCTGCTTGAGGTAAGCCCCGCCCGGAGCCTGCACCCCTGACACCCTCCCGTGCCCCAACCCTGGTGCCCTTCCTGCACCCCCCAACCCCTCATTCCCAGCCCCACCCCAGAGCCCGCATACCCAGGACTGTCCCTATAATGTCAGTAAACATTACCAAAATGTCTACTGTGTTTACGTGCAATTGAAAACATGAAGAAAAATCAGAGACCGAATAAACTATAATCTGCATTATCACAATTTCACAGTGAATAAAATACATTGCTTCCCTTTGCCTCTGCAACATAAAGGTTCTAAACACAGATTAGGAACTATTTGGTTAGCATTAACCTGGGTGTATGTATGTCAAGTTTCATTGTTGCTAAACCTGAGTTTATTGTGGGGGAAAGTGATCTAAATATCACTATGCTGAGCTTTATTTACAATCTTTTTATTTTTCTTGGAGGTTCTTGATCTAGCATTACTGACTTTTGTAACGAGAATCAAAACAGCAAACAAGGAGCAAACTACTTTCCTCCTCACAAACTTTTTCGCATTTTAAAAGGATTGTTTACAAAGCTTCACTAGTCAAAATTAGAATTCACCTTAAGCAGCAGAGAACTAGACTCATGCCAAACTTGTATTTAACCATTTGATTATTTTTTCTTTTGTATCTTCGAAAAGCAGAATGTAGATTTATGAGCATATGATGGAAGCACTAGACAAGATCATTCTGAAGTATTTTTGCCCTATGTTTTTTTCCCCATTAAGTGTGCTATGGATTTTGATTAAACTATGTGTTATAAAATTGGAGAATGATTGCAAAAGTTGCACATGCTGTAGGTGGTCAAATGCTGTGTGTAACTTTTCTTTTTTTGATATGCAGCTTAGCTGTAGTACAAAATATAATCACTGTTACTATATTTTCCTTTGGTAGCTGACACCCTTTTTTCAAGAAAACTAAATGGAAAATACAGACTTGAACAACTTGTTCCAACTGCTGTGTATCAACATATGAAAATGCACAAACGAATCCTAGGACACTTATCTTCTGTATACTGTGTAACTTTTGATCGGACTGGCAGACGGATATTTACCGTAAGTACAAATTCCTTATTTTCATACTGCTGTTTTTAAATATAGCTCAGAACATATGGTCAAAATAACCACTGTTCTCAAGAATCCTAAACTGTACTCATTTTATGTACTAAGAGCAGATAAGTGATAACTAAATGCATGACTTGTTGACTTTGACATTTAAAGTAGATTTCTTTAAAGAGAATACTACTGAATATCTGTCTTGACAATCACACTTTTTTTGGAGACATACAGACAGGTTTTCCACAGCTACATTTAGGAGGTAATTTGTTATAAGTAAATTTTGGTTGTTTTAATAAATGGTAAATTTTGGTTGCCCCCCCACCTTTCCCCCTAAATTTTCCTATATAGCATACACATAGGAAAAGTAATTGAACAGTGGTATAGATTAATAAAGAACTTAGAGGGTGTTATAATTATTGTCAATTGACAAGGGTTTATGGAAATAGATTTTGTCAAACTAATTAGATAAATTTTTTTTTAATGAAATTATAAATTTTGCTGATAAAGGTAATAGTGGTAATGTGATATATTTAAACTTCTGTAAGGCATGACATTTTAATTTAAGAAACTGGAAGGATACAAAAATCAACATGGCACATTAAATGGATTAAAAAGTGGCTAACTGATGGGTCTCGATGTAATCAGGGAATCATTGAGCAAGCATGTTTCAAATGTCCCACAAGGATTGATTTTTGGCTCTATGCTGTTTAATACTTTTGTCAGTGAGCTGGAAGAAAACATACCTGATAAAGATTGCAGATTTATTGGGAGAGAGGTAAATAATGGAAAAAATAATTAGCTGACACAGCGATCTGGATCACTAGGTAAACTGGCCACAGGCAAACAATATGCATGTCAGTACCGTCAAATGTAATGTCATACATCTAGGAATAAAGAATATAGGTCAGAGAGGATGAGGGACTCCTTTTGGGGCAGCCCTTTTGGGAAGCAGTGACACTGAAAAAGACTTGAGCGTCATGGTGCATAATCAGCTGAATCCTAGCCTGCAGTGTGATGCTGTGGCTAAAAGGGCTAATGCAGACCTTGGAAGTTTATTTTGCCCCTATGTTTGGAATACTGTGTCCAGTTCTGGAGTCAACACTTCAAGAAGGATGTTGATAAATTGGAGAGGATTCAGAGAAGATTCATGAGAATGATTGAAGGATTAGAAAACATGCTTTATAGTGATAGCCATCTCTTTGATGCCTAAACAATTGAGTTCCTTGAGTCTAATATTGACTTGATCAGTCTGTAAGTACCTGTGTGGAGAACAGAATTTGATAAGGGATATAGGTATAGGCAGACAAAGGTATAAAAAGATCAAATAACTGCAAGTTGAAGCTAGACAAATTCAGACCAGAAATAAGGCATGCCTTTTTAAACATCGACAACAATTAATCATTGGAAAACTTTATTAAAGATTGTGGTGGATTCTCCATCTCCATTCTCCAAATTTTTAAATAAATGTTGGATGCTTTTATAAAAGAGATGTTCTAGTTCAAATGGGAGTTCAGGGAAGTTTTTGGACCTGTGCTAGTCTGGAGGTCAGACTAGATGATCACAATGGTCCCTTCTAGCCTTAGAATTTACCTCCCAATCTGAAACAGCTTGATATTAGTCTGTGAAACTCTGGGGCTTGCTTACATGCCAGGTATTGTGGCAATACAAACAGAGGGATAGTGCAGTGCTCCTGCTTTATCTATTGCAATCTTAGCTTCTAAAACTTTTTGGTTTAAAAGCAATGAACATTATCTTTTCACTCCTTACTTCCTTAGGGGATGAAAGTTTCCAGGTTGCTGACAAAGCTTCTGTTCATTTTGCTCACCTGTCAGCTTCATGGCAGAGCAGGCAAAATGGAGAATCACTTGGTCTGTCTTCAGCTTGCTCTGTTGATGAGCAGGCTCTGTCAGCAACCACAGAAGCGGAGTTCTTTCACAGTTGCTCCCACCCTCCAGCCCATGCCCTGGATCGGGGAAGAAGCTCAGTCTGGATGACTTGTGTTCTTCACATGCCACTCAACAGGCTCAGTCCTTACTGATTATCAGTTCTTTAGAGGCAAGTCCCTAAATCCTCCCATGCTGGTTTAGACTAAACCCCCTCAGGGTTGGTTTAGACTAAATGTAAAACAAGATTAAAAACAAAAGGAGATAGGAACTCACTTAAAATCGTGTATAAAGGATAGAGTTAGAAATGGTTACAAGCAAATAAAAGTGAAAAATGCTTTCTAGAGGCTGACTTAACAAAACAAGTACAAAACAAAACAGTTTTTGTTCAAGATAGTTTGCTTACCAGTCCAGCTTCCAGCAAGATGGCTTGACCACTCTTCTGGTCAGGATCTCCCATAAAGTCCAAAGTGCTGGGTTCCTTTGTTGCTTTAAGTGAAAGATAACATAGGGTTCTTTGCTCCTTTCTTTTACAGTCTAGTGCACCTTTGAAATGGATTCTTTCGAATATTATTCAGCAAGGTAAAGGGAACATGGAGTCTGGTGGTGAAGGAGATTCCATGCTGGTTTCTTCCCCTGCTGATATTTGTAGGAAACAGAGCAATCTGCATTTTAGCAGTCTCCTCTCCCTGCTGTGATGAGGAGTGGTTATCTCTTCACCTTGTTGCTTTGATTACTTTCTATGTAAACTGCATTCCCATTGTCTCTTAATGTACCTTGGAAATATCTGGCAGAACCACATTCCTTTGTCTAGGTGGGGTAATTTTAGCTCTGCTGGGCAGATATATTTTAATGACATAATTTCCAGTATGTTTACAACTTTGAATTTGTCCTCTGTACATACACCACATAGTAATATTAATAATCAGTATGTTGTTAGCTTTCTATTGATATCTTACACGACACCTTTTAGATACAAATTATGACCTTAGTGAGTTAAGTTTCAGCTGGCCTGACCAGTTCAGTGTATCTCATTACCTGATATCATTGAGTCTCTTGCATTGGGATGCTGCTAGGGTCACACCCTCCATCTTCCAAAGATGAAGCCTCAGACTCTTTCAGGGATTTATCACTACATTTTCTCTCCAAGTACATATTGGATGAAGAACAGTGGGGCTCAAAACATAATGCCCTGCAGCCCATGGTCCAAAGAGCACCTCAATTAATAAGAGGCAATTCTCCTGCATAGGGTGACCAGATAGCAAGTGTAAAAAATTGGGATGGGGTGGGGGGTAATAGGCACCTATATAAGAAAAAGCCTATAAAATCGGGACATCTGGTCACCCTACTCCTGCAGCAACCATCTTTTTGCCAGAAGGCAAAATTAAAACACACAGACCAGAAAACACAAGGAGAAAAACACCAATTACACAAGAATCCTCATCTTCACTGAGCTCTAGTTTTTCTCCTGATGAAGGGGACTTGGTGCTTTGGATTATGTTATCCTTGACCCTGAGAAGCAGGAGGCATTCTTTTCCACCAGGCTTGTTTGGAATCATGAAGGGCAAATATCTTATTCAAAACCAAAAGAATATCTACCATTGCCCTTCATTCCTCCTTTGAGGAAATTGCTGATGAAGGGAAGAGGCTTATTGTAAAATTTTAAAATTCTGCAGGGTCTTAGAGCCAAAGATTCTCTCTTCACACATCTCAAGGACAATTATAGCAACAATTTCCCTAGTAGCAGATGTCATCATTTCTGGTGAGAATGTCATTTTCCCCCAAAAAACTGAACAGACAAGTAGACAGAAACTGCCTTTAGAAGGAACTTCAAAACACCTTTTGGAAGCCCTAGAACCTCACTGGCAATAAAGTGCTCTGCTAATCGCAGTATTCTGCTGTGACAACCTGAAAAACTTTGACTATCAGACTATGGTCAATTCAAGTCTATATCAAATAAACTGCCTCTAGAAATGGCACTGTTGGAAGACAGATCCATGGATTTAAACCCTAGAGGGTGAATGATAATTCAGAAGAAATCCTCTGTGTCTTACAATAGTCTGGTGAATCTTGTTCTGGGAGAAGCTGTAAATAAGTGGTGTCTAAAAACACTGATAAGCCAAAATCTTTCCTCTTCACACGAGTAAAGCTCAAAGTGCTAGAGTGGTATGATGTGACTGCTGCTTATTACACTAAAAACTGTCTCACTGTTGTGTTCTTCCTCAGCCTATCTGTATTCAACTGTAGTCTCTCATCTTATTACTTGGGGCATAAGCTTACAATAAACTGTGTGGGGTGGGGTACCTGGTACACCTAGTATAGTAGGAGCTCTGATCCTTTATTGGGGCTCCTAGATGTTACTGCAGTAGTAATAATTAGGGCCCTATCAAATTCACAGCCATGAAAAACGCGTCATGGACCGTGAAATCTGGTCTTTGGTATGCTTTTACCCTATACTATACAGATTTCATGAGGGAGACCAATGTTTCTCAAATTGGGGGTCCTGACCCAAAAGAGAGTTGTGGGGGGGTGGGTAGGTGGGTCACAAGGTTATTTTAGGGGGTCATGGTATTGCCACCCTTACTTCTGCGCTGACTTCAGGGCTGGGCGGCCAGAGAGGGGCGGCTGTTGGCCGGGCGCCCAGCTCTGAAGGCAGCACCTTGCCAGCAGCACAGAAGTAAGGGTAGCAATTCCATACCATGCCATCCTTTACTTCTGTGCTGCTGCTGGCGGTGGCTCTGCTTTCAGAGCTGGGCCTCCCGGTCAGCAGCTCCCGCTCTCCAGGTGCTCGGCTCTGAAGGCAGCACCACTACCAGCAGCAGCATGGAAGTATCGCAACCTCGCCTACAATAACCTTGCGATGCCCTCCCCTCCACCTTCTTTTTGGGTCAGGACCCTGACAATGGTAACACTGTAAAATTTCAGATTTAAATAACTGAAATCATGTATTTACAATTTAAGAAATCCTATGACCATGAAATTGATCAAAATGGACCGTGAATTTGGTAGGGCCCTACTAATGATAGAACCCCCTTGAAGAGCAGAAGCTCCTTTTCCTACCCTGAAGCTAAGTTTCAGCAGCATCTCCGCTTTCACTCAGTGTGCAAGGACTTG